GGCTTGTTTAAACATTCCCATACCGATCTAATACTTTGCGCAGTATTTGCAATAACACTCATTCCAATCTCAAATCTTACCGTGAAAATTTATATGATTTGGTTCATACAGCCAGTAATCTAGCATTATCGTGGGGCGGTTCCAGTTTCCATCTTTTGCTTACTTATTTGGTCGAACAATGGTGAAAAAATACAGGTGAGGCGGAAAGCTTGGAACAGTACGACTGCGAAGATGCACACAATGCAGACAGATTAAGTTTACACGGAAACTGATTAGATGCGTGTGTGCTACTTTTTACGACACTCAAGCATATCATATCAGTTTACTCTGATGGGTGATGGCCGTACACACAGCCAGTTCGCCAATTGTGTAATGATCAGACATTTTCTGCGGACTCCATCCGTACGTAAAGCGCTCGTAAAAGACAACCAGTTTATTCGAAGAACTTTGCAGGAGAAAAAAACGTATCGTTTAGCATTCCCAGCAGGTCAGTTTATCTGTCGACAAGGTTTTCCTAACCTACCAAAAGAGATGGATGTCTGGCTTACAATGGAATGCGCCACATGTCTTCGATTAGCTCGGTTTTTTTCGGTGAAGCTGTCGACCGATGGAACGCTTCCGTTGAAGAGGAGAGCGAGACAGGTGCACGACATAGCGCCTAAAAACAAGGAAAAAATGAATGAAAACGTGTGCCGTCGGTCGGTTCGTAATTTCGAGCTAAGGAAGGCGGGAGCGGTAACTGGTGGCACATATGCATTATCGGCACCGGTGTGCTCCTGCAAGACGTACTCATCAATCACTGTTCCAACTCAGTTCAAACAATCTTCTTTCCGAATGACAATGAGTGAAATACTGTTGCGATATGTGGATCGGTATCTTGAGCCGCACACCAAGATCACATCGAGAAGCAAATTTGACTGGGGAGAAGACCTGGTTAGTGAAACTGAGGCTTGCACACAATTACAACTCGATTAAACCGACACAAAAAGCAATCAGTAGGTTTTTTGGTCCGGCGATTTGGTGGCAAATAGGTGAAAGATGAATTACCAAGTCGGAGAACATCACCCAATCAGGCTACGCGCATCTCATAATAACCATCAACATACGGTGATCCGAAACGAGTTAGGTTCACTGTAACTTCCAGCCTCATTTGTTAATATGTCTCAAAAAGGCAGTCGAGGAGCCCACCATTCTAGGGAATCACCGCGGTATGAGAATCGAGCACATCTTTAACTGGGATTGTAAAGAACTTTGTGATTTTAACAGAAACAATAGAACCACAACACCGAATGGTCTTTGTTTTTAAGGCTGTATCTGAACATCATCAAGTGGTAAGTAAAAGAAGATGCAAGAAATTATTCGATGATGGACTAGATTCACACAATCCATTATGACGTCTGCAGCAACTAATGATTGTTGCTGCACTCGACAGCACGCAGTTCAACAACCAGCAAGTTAAACGCAGTAGAAAGTTCCAACACAGGTTTCGACTGATCCATGGGTCAAAACAACTTCGGTCTTTTGGCTTATGCACGATGAAAAATACCTATACCAATGACGTCAGGACGAAACTACGCCCGGTACGACATGGCACAAAACTCAATCGGGAAAGCTTTTGCTGATAACACGGAGAACGGGACCTCAATTAAAGCATAGAAAAACTATGAGGGTGTTGAAACAACCATTCTGAAGAGACGAAAAAATCGGTCGAATAGAATCATCATCATCATCATCATCATCATCGCACAGTGAATTGAACTTCGATGATCGCCATCAAACGTGCAATGCACACAAAGTTAGTGGTCATATGTAAGGTGACCGATATGTTTGTCACACAGGCCTGTGACCAGATTAATTGATCGATTGATTGATTGGTTGACTGTTTGAATGCCATTTGAATGCCGATATACAAATGTTGTGTCACGTGTGAGTCTGTGTCGGTTTGCCTGCCTGCCTTCTTAAGTGTTGCCCGTTTCTGCTTACTCACCAGTGTCTATGATTTGGCTACATATGTGCCGTCCATAATAAACGTGTTGCTTAATTCCACACGTGTTTATCTATCTACTGAACCTGGGACACAATAGTGTCCTATCCAGTCGACGAATCCGAATTCAATGAGCTAGAAAATTTATCCCAGATGAACTCCCAAACACACGACGACTTACCTCCAGATTACTACCCTGTTCGTTCCATTCTAGGTGAGCCAAAATATGTATTGTATGTTATGTAATATGTAATATGAGCTAAAATATGTAATTTGATGGTCGAAAAATGCTAGCCGCTGGATATCTTCTACTCGCCAATTCAAGGTCTTAAAACCATAAAGCAGGACTGAACGAACGCTAGCACAATATACACGACCTTTCAACTTCCGTGAAACGTCGCGTCTACGTGTCAAAGGTGCTTCAGTCCTGTGTACGTTGCTCAGGCCTTGGAAATGCGGGCGGATATCTCGTTTGAGGCGCTCCCGGTATTAATCACACAACTACCCTAGTAGGAGAAGCAATTCAACACAACTAATTCCTGAACATTTGGTTTTAAAAGCCGGATTAGGCGACACCCAGTCTTGCAGCGTCACTTTGCACTTTGAAAGTGTCACTCGATCCTTCGGAATCTATTTTATCAGCATACCATTGGCTGGATGATAAGGTAAACGCTTGATCGGTCTCATTAGATGCGGCTATCTTGAACCGTCCGCTTGTTAAAGACAGTTATCAAAAAGCGGAGAGAGAGAGAGAGAGAGAGAGAGAGAGGGAGAGAGTTCGCAGCAAGCACGCCAATAGTCGTGTCAATGAAGCTTAACGGTTGTTTGGATTTTACACTCTCCGGTCCCAGGACGAAAAGCAACTAGGCAATCGAACATGGTTTATGAATGGGGTATAGCTGCAAACGAACTGGATCTATCCGAGGAATTTAGGTAATCCTGCTCGAACGGGGCTAGCTTGTGTTTAGATGAAACCAACAAGAGTTGCAGCATAGGTGACCTTCTGCACACTCATCGAACAGGTCGTTCATCATCATCATCATCATCATCGTACAGCGGAATACAGCGAGGCGAACTTCACTGATTGCTTCCAAACTCGCAATGCATACGGTAAAATTTAAGGTGGACAGGGATTGGATCTATTTTGAGAGAAGGGGGGGGATGAAGGTAAAAATCTATGGTCAACACACACAGAGTACGCAATCGGACTCTGCATACATACCGTTTCAATCATTCTGACTTGATAAGAAATGACAACAAGAACGCCACTGCTGTCGGTTCACTGCCATACCCTTCAATGTCTCCAACCAACCGGTTACGGAGTCTTTCGGACCCCAACCTGAAAGGCGAGCGACACTGACTCTACCTAAACCGGTGGATTGGGTTCACGATGGGTGGTTTTCCACAAAAATACCAAAGACGAACTCCACTCATAGGTGTACAAATTGAACACCTGCTGGTGCACGCCAACGACCGTTGTCATCAAACCACGGAACTAGACTTGACAAGGTAATGAAAATAAGTTAGCGTAGCTTGGGTGGACTGAATTCATTTTTGCCTATTCTCCAAGCCTGAAATTTTATATGTAAACGTTTCTTAACAAGCTGAGGTGAGATTTTCAGTGTTTGTTGAGTGGCTTATTAAACACCAACGATAGCATCTCCCTCACTAAAAAGGTAAACATGGACAGGAATGATTAGGACGACTGGGACAAGGGAGAGTAAACGTTGTTTGTATTTTAGGGAGTTTTTCATGTTTAGAAAGCTCGAGAATAAGCAATTTCAAAGAGAAATTCATTGAGAATAGAGCAAATGAAACGTGAACTAAAACGCTTGGAAGCACTGTACACCTGTTTCGACCTGGTTGGGTCTCCATTAGCAGCGCGAATCCATCGATCCAACTAGGGCTCAAATCCGTGACCTCACAGACAGAACACAAGCATGCTAATCAGGTTGTGAAGGTTTTAAACCGCGCCATGACCCCCAGAAGCTAGTGCTCAGATGAACGAGGCGCGATGCCCGCAACAAGAAACGATGGGTTGTGCTATATCGTGTAAATAGAAAATGAAAAGCGGTCTGATCACTTGGCCGGTGACCCAGTGGATAGCATGCTTGCGTTCTACCTGTGAGGTCCCGGGTTCTACCTTTAGTTGACGGATTCGTACTGCTGATGAGACACAATCAGGTCGAAACAGCTGTCCCAACTTTTCAGTTCACGCCTCATTTGCTA